TATTGAATTTAAAGCCATGCGACCGCATGGTGTTAAACCATGCGACCTCATGGTTCAATTTTTCAGCTCAATTGAAACCCTGCTAGACCCTGTGCGGCTGCAAGGAATTATAACCATGCGGCCGCATGGTTATAAAAATTTTCCTTTGGATAGCTTTCAATATTTTGATCATAACTTTCTCTCCCAATCTCCAATTGAAGTGATTTAAAGTGAATTGGGAAGAAAACTCAAAGATGTACACTTTTGATAGAAATAGGCTTCCTCAAATTCTATTGTTTACTATGCCAAAAATGGATCTCAAGTAGAGACTCAAAATCACGAGCATAACTTTTTCGCATGAAAGTTGATACTTGATAATACTTCGACCATATTTCACCTCGTGACTCCTTTCCTCATCCGATTGAGCTCTAACACTCTCGAATCTTCATTCCATTTCCCGTCTCATCTATGGATTATTTGTAACTTGGTCCCCGAACTATCGCTTTGTTCCGTTTTGGTCCTTTTTCGGCTCTTTTCTTCTGAATTCCATCTTTTCCATAGAAACACCTACATAGCATGAATTTAACAAGATTAAGTCATAATTCAACTACTTCGTCCATGTTTAAGTCATGTTTGTGAGCTAAATAAGTGTGTAAAAACACACTTATCAAATCCCCCAAACTTAAACTATTGTTTGTCCTCAAACAATGTAGTGACTTAATGCTAAACAAACATGGCTTAATAGCTTACCGTGTCTCAGGATTGGACTTAGTAATAATAATAGAAACAATATCAAGAGTGCGAGAATTGAATCAACCTTTACTCATCAAATGCAATACTCAACGTGTGTGTGTGAACTCATGCCAACATATCAAGCTTATGATCAGTAAATCCCAGACCCATAGTGGTCAAATTTATCCTTACGTCACTCGAGAGATACACAATCCCCAAATGTATTCTTTTCACACAATTTCTCCAGGGTGTATTCTAAGGTTAGGAGTTTAAACAATTCTAATCCTTACCCTCTCTTAGTTTGGATAGATTTTACCATTACAAGTTCACATATCAACAAGTAGAGACTCTCCGTATTTTTGATTGCTTCAACCTTTAGGATTAAACTAAGCTACTTGCTTCGCGTTGAGGTTATAGTTCTATCAACCAAATGTCCAACGAGGGCTTTTATTTTTAATTTTTTTTAATTTTTATTTTTATTTTTTATTTTTTTGTGTGTCATCTTCTCATTTGCTTTCTATATAACCCATGTAACGAGCTTTAGGCGATGACTCCCAAATCAGTTGGCTTTAGGGCATCGGGTTTTAAACCCTTGCAGTCTTATTCACTCGAGTTATAAAGGCTCGACAAGATGACTTTTTATCAACTCTCCTTTTTTCTTGCTTTCTATATGATCCATGTAACGAGCTTTAAGCCGATGACTCCCAAACCAATTGGCTTTAGGGCATCAGGTTTTAAACCCTTACAGATTTACTTGCTCGAGTCATAAAGGCTTTTTGAGAGAAGTGATAATTTTTCAATTTTTACTTTATGCCCTTTCTTTGTTTTTCTAGACATTTGACTTCTAAAACCATCCTCACTTAAAGCTTTCACCTATTTCTCACCTTTCGGGATTAAATAATCCACACATTATAATTTCATGCACGGAGCCCCCACTTATCTCCATGTTTTCCTACAATGGCTCAATCATCTCCAAACTATCTTAAAGTGATATTACGGGTTAATGTTATAGAGGGTTATTCTAGGTTTCTCCTAATTTATTCTAAAATTCCAATTAATAACTTAACACGTGACATGAGTGGCGTGCAAAAGAGTGTCAAGCAATGCATCAACAAGTATTAGCAAATTACATTCTGCACTAAATCCACAGTTTCTAGCTTATACATGTCCAATAATCACATCATAGCCGGCAAGGCTACCAAACCCACTCAAGCATGCAAACGTTCATAAAGATTCACTCATCAAGCATGCATCATGCAAAAACTTGTCAAACTTAACGATGGATTGTGAATATGCAAAATAATTACTTGTCGAATATTTGTTTGAAATTATGCTACCATCCCCCAAACTTATACAATACAGTGTCCTCAATGTAAAATGTAAAGTTAAAATGGCAGAATTTAAAACATGGACACAAGTTGGCAATAAGAGATTAACAAAACTCCCCTGATCAATGCGGTGGTTGTGGTGTGAAGTTGGGACCTGCAGCATCATCTTTAGGAGGAGATGGGAGGCGGGATAGGACTTATCTCAGCAATTCGGACTGCTGTGCTTGCTCGGCCTGAATGGCTTGAAGAGTACTTTCCATATTTCCCAAGCGATCCCAAGTCTCGTTCACACGCCACTGTATGCCATCCATTCTCCCAGCGTACATGTTCAACCTACCGTTCATAGTCTCCACTTCCCTTCTCGCAGCTGTGGCTTCATTCAAAGCACCTCTTGTGTAGTCTCGGGAGGAGTAGAGGTCTCTCTGCACTTTTTCAACAGTGGTGGTCATTGTCTCGAACCTCTGCTGGAGGTTTTGTACGTCTCTGCTAGTTCCAGTGGCTGTGGAAAATATCTGTCGAAGTAGCTGCGAATCCATCTCAACTGGCTGTGGCGGGGCTTGTGGTAAGTGTAAATATTCAGCAGCTTGTCCTTCTTCCTGCGCATTTTGTCTTTGCTACTCAAGTCTTTCTTGTTCTCTCTTCCTTATCCTAGCTCGTTCCTGAGCTTCAAATGTGGTGAGCTTTATCAATGGGCTTGATTTCTCAGGCATTTTCCCTACCTCAACTATAACACCAGCAGCAAGACATATCCCGCTAATCAGACTAGGCAAAATCATCGAAGACCGCCTATCTCCCCAGGTTCCTAAATTGTGTATCTGGTCAAAAATAAGAGTAGCCAAATCAACTTTGCATCCCCGGACTAAATGATATGTGAACCCAGTAGTTTGATCCGTGAAAGTTGTCCGATGCGATGTGGGTTCGATGTTATGGCACATGAAGACCCAAAGGATGGTTATGGATGGAGTAAGCTCAATTTGATGCCACTCTGCAGTGGGTAGGGGTCAAGCATTCTCTCTTCCCAAGAGAACCTCCACCACTTCATTCCAGTTGAATTGAGCGGGAATCGGGACCACATTGTCCAAATTAAGATTGTAGAAGTCATGAATGACGGCTGGGGAGAACATTATCCACTTACCTCGCACCCATGTCTGGTGTAAGTGTTCAGAACCCGGAGTCTCAATTTCACTATTGAAGTTTGCATAAAATTCTCGGACTAAACTTTCATAAACTGGGTGTGGCTTTTCTACAATCTTCTCCCATCCACAAATTTGTATCAGATTTGGTAACTCAAAACCACGAAAATCCTCTAACCGGACCTGTCTCTCTGGTATCATGCCCCACTGGCATATTATGTTCTCATATCGAGCTAACGTTTTGGCATCATAGAATCTTCGCACACCTCCTACTAGCTCTCTGGTGTGGATTGTGCCGGAGGAGGAACCAACCTTTTCTTTACCTTTTGATGTTCTCTTCGGCGGCATCCTGCACAAATAAGGAACGAAGTGTATCAAGTTCGTGAAATAAGGAAACAATGAAGAATATCAATGTCAAGCACAAATCCCCCAAACTTTCTTCAAAATATGTGCAATATTCAACGCATGGAAGTCAATGTAACATTAATATTGCATTAATGAGAAAAATTCAAAATTATGACTCTAACATGCATTTTTTGAAAATTTGACCCATGATCAAGTGACCAACTTCAGCCCCAAGCATCATCGAGAAATATTAAAATTTCCCCAGACAAGGTCTGGGCATATGAAAGTACTCATTGTGGTCTAGCATATATCCAAATTTCACTACAATCGGAGGTCGTTTGGTTAGGAAAATACATGGACGAAGTTAGTGACGTGAGTTGACATGGCTTAGCAATTTATGTGGTTATGTGCACATATATGTGAGGTTAATGTTTTCCAATGAAATTCCATGAGATTTTTCATCTAGTATGCCTCACATTAACAATGTTAATCATCACACAAATGAAAAGTTCAAAATTTAGAATCATATGCCTCATTGACATTTAATCGAACACCTTGTGTGCATTGGAAATCTCCTTCACTTTGCTTTTGATTTACACTTAGGGCTAGTCAACAATTCACAATGCAATCACAATGTAAAACTTACCTAATCCGAAGATGGCAATACATCAAAGAAAATCTTCAGACTTTGCATGGAAAGCAAATTTCTTACCTTGGAGATGAACTTGGAGAGAATGCTTCAAAATTTCTTGATATCAATTGCAATGATAAGATAAATGTGGTTCTAGGGTGAAGAGTTGATGCTTAGTGGAGTGAATTTGATCGTGTGAAGTTAGAATTGTGGGGGAAAATGTGTGTTCGTGTTTGAGGGGTGAAAAAAATGAAAAAAAATAATGGGTTGTTTCGCAAGTGACGGGTTAATAACCCGTCACTTGTATACCATGCGACCGCATGGTGTAATATTGTATGCTCCTTTTGGTTTCAGTAAGGGTCCATGCGGGGTTTCGGTAAGGGTCCATGCAGTCGCATGGACCCTTTGTCCATGCGGCCGCATGGACCAACCAAAAAATTATTATTATTAATTTTTTTTAAACTTATAATTATAACCCCAAACTTGACTCGACTCTACATATTCGAATTTTTTTTTAAACTTATAATTATAATCCCAAACTTGACTCGACTCTACATATTCAAATTTTTTCTTTTTTAAATAAACATCTTAAAAATAAAACTAACGACTTTGAACCCCGAAATTCTTAACTTCACACTCAAACACCCAAAACATTATCTTTAACCTCGACTCATGCAACTATAAACGTGTAGTGCCTAGACTATCATGCGTGAATGATCGATGACCTAATAAAACATACGAAATGTAAATAAATTCCAAAATAAATGTAATAAAATAAATTGAAGGATACAGTGGGTTGCCTCCCACCTAGCACTAGTTTATAGTCGATAGCTCGATTTTCCTGCATTTTCTTCATGTTGGGTTGTTGAGTTGCACAGTGGACTTCTGCTTAGGGAAATTACAGCCCCAATAGTGTTTCAGTCTTTGCCCATTGACGATGAAAGTGCCTTTGGTCTCGTGACTCACTTCAATAGCCCCATACTGCATCACCTTAGTTATGGTATAGGGACCCGACCACCTTGTTCTTAGCTTTCCTGGGAAGAGTTTGAGTCTAGAACTGTACAATAACACTTTCTGGCCAACTTCAAACTCTCACCTCTGAATGTTTAAATCATGCCATCTTTTGGTGCACTCCTTGATCAACTTTGAGTTCTCATAAGCTTCCATTCTCATCTCATCCAATTCATTAAGTTGCAGCAGTCGTTTTTCACCAGCAGCCTTGAGATCCATATTCAACTGTTTCATAGCCCAATATGCTCGATGCTCCAACTCCAATGGAAGATGACACGCTTTCCCAAAAATCAGGCGGTATGGAGACTTTCCTATTGGTGTCTTAAATGCTGTTCTGTAAGCCCACAGTGCATCGTCAAGCTTCTTAGACCAATCTTTTCGGGATGAATTCACTGTAACTTCCAGTATTCTCTTTAACTGTCTGTTCGAAACTTCAACTTGCCCATTGGTTTGTGGATGATATGGAGTTGCTACTTTATGTTTCACCCCATATTTGTTCAACAGCTGCTCTAATTGACGATTTATGAAGTGTTTGCCTCCATCACTTATTATTGCCCTTAGTGTATCATATCTTGTAAATATGTACTTCTTCAAGAACTCTATCACCACTTTCGTGTCGTTAGTAAGCAATGCAACGGCTTCCACCCACTTAGAGACATAGTCAACGGCCACCAAGATATATTGATTTGAGTACGATGGGGGGAAAGGTCCCATGAAGTCTATTCTCCATACATCAAATATTTCAACCTCCAAAATGTAATTTAGTGGCATCTCATTTCTTCTTGAGATATTTCCGGTTCGTTGACATTTATCGCATCTCTTCACATACTCGAATGTGTCTCTGAATAAAGTAGGCCAGTAGAAACCCGACTGTAGTATCTTTGCAGCAGTCTTTGAAGCTCCAAAATGCCCAGCATATGCAGAAGAGTGACAATGTTCTAGAATATCAGGTACTTCATCTTCAGGAATACATCTTCTGATTATCTGATCTGCGCCTCTTTTGTAGAGAATGGGATCCTCCCAAAAGTAATACTTCAGCTCTGCGAAGAACTTCTTTCTTTGATGGCTAGAATAGTTTGGTGGCGGGATGGACTTAGCAAGGTAGTTAACGATATCAGCTTACCATGTGACTATTTCTACTCAAAAAATTTGCTCATTTGGAAAGATTTCATTGATGTCAACTGACATCTCAGGTTCATCCCGTTCCAATCTTGATAGGTGGTCGGCTACCACATTTACAGTGCCCTTTTATCCTTGATCTCAATATCGAACTCTTGCAACAACAATATCCAACGGATCAATCTCGGCTTAGCATCCTTCTTTGTCATAAGATACTTCAGAGCGGCATGATCTGTGTAGACGATAACCTTAGACCCAACAAGATACGATCTAAACTTGTCGAATGCATGAACCACAGCTAGCAATTCCTTCTCGATCGTCGCATAGTTGATTTGGGCGTCGTTCAAAGTTCTACTTGCATAGTATATCACATGAAAGATTTTATTCTTTCTTTGTCCCAATACCGTACCAACTGCATCATCACTCGCATCACACATTAGCTCAAAGGGCAAATCCCAATCAGGTGACACAATCACAGGCGCTGTTGTGAGTTTTTCCTTCAGAGTATTGAACGCTATCAAACATACCTCATCAAACTCAAAAGATACCTCTTTCATTAACAAGTTGGACAGAGGCTTGGTGATTTTGGAGAAGTCCTTTATAAACCTCCTGTAAAACCTGCATGCCCAAGGAAACTTCGAACTCCTTTTACTGATGTAGGTGGTGGTAATTTCTCAATAACCTGAAATTTACCTTATCCACCTTTATCCCCTTTGCCGATACTCTATGTCTCAAGACTATTCCCTCTTGAACCATGAAATGACATTTCTCCCAGTTCAATACTAAGTTCGTTTCTCTGCATCTTTGCAAAACCAAATTTAAGTGATCCAAGCACTCATCAAATGAGGTCCCAAAGACCGAGAAGTCATCCATAAAGATTTCAATGAATCTCTCTACCATATCTGAGAAAATTGCCATCATGCATCGCTGAAATGTGGCAGGAGCGTTGTAAAGTCCAAATGGCATTCTTCGGTATGCAAAGGTGCCATATGGGCATGTGAAGGTGGTCTTCTCTTAATCATCTGGTGCCACTGGTATCTGATTATAACCCGAATACCCATCCAGAAAGCAGTAATGGGAATGGCCTGCCAATCTCTCCAACATCTGATCTATAAACGGAAGAGGGAAATGATCTTTCCTTGTAGCGCTATTTAGTTTGCGGTAATCAATGCAAACTCTCCACCCTGTTACCGTCCTTGTCGGAATCAACTTATTCTTTTCATTCTAAACCACTGTAATTCCTCCTTTCTTGGGCACAACTTGCACTGGACTAGTCCATTTACTATCTGATATCGGGTAGATTATTCCAGCATCCAGAAGTTTGATCACCTGAGCTCTTACTACCTCCTTCATGTTTAGCTTTAGCCTTCTTTGACTTTCAACTGTTGGTCAAAAATTCTCCTCCATGAGAATTTTATGCATACATAAGGAAGGACTGATCCCTTTGATATCAGCTATGGTCCACCCAATTGCTTGCTTGTTATCTCGAAGCACCCTAAGAAGTTTTTTCTCCTCCACTTCACTAACCATGTTTGAAATTATAACTGGAAGTGTATTGGACTCCCCCAAATATGCATATCTTAAGTGTGGGGACAGCTGCTTGAGTTCCAACTTTGGTGGCTTCAGAATAGATGGCTGTGATTTCTCTGGCCCTGTCCCAAGCTCCTTAAAGTATCGTTTCCGCGTGTAAGGTGGGTTGGACTCCAAAAGCCTTGCACACATTTCTATGTCTTCAGAATCAGAATTCGTGAATTTAGAATATGCAATGCAGGCTTCCAATGCATCTGATGGGTTTTGCAGTGTAAATGACTCTACAATCATTTTATCAATCATGTCAACCCTGAAACATCTGTCAGTCTCTATTGGCAGTTTCATGGACTTGAAGACATTGAATGAAACCTGTTCTTCTCCCAATCTCAGTATCAACTGCCCACTCTGAACGTCGATCAAAGCTCTGCCTGTGACTAAGAATGGTCTGCCCAGTATTAAAGGAACATCTTTATCTTCTTCCATATCCAGAATCAGAAAGTCTGCTGGGAATATGAACTTCTCCACTTTAACCAAAACGTTTTCAATTATTCCTCGTGGATGTGTTAATGATCCGTCAACCAGCTGTAAGGTCACCGTGGTAGCTTTAGCTTCTCCCAATTCTAATTTCCTGAAAACAGAAAATGGCATTAAGTTAATACTTGCACCAAGATCACATAAAACTTTATCAAAATAAAATTTACCAATGGTACAAGGGACAGTGAAACTCCCTGGATTTTTCAATTTTAGCGGGAGCTTTCTCTGAATCCTGGCACTGCACTCCTCTGTTAGCATAACCGTCTCATGATCTCCTAGATTCCTTTTGTTTGATAGGATGTCTTTCAGGAGTTTTGTATAGCTAGGCATCTAAACCAGTGCTTCAGCGAATGGGATGTTGATATGAAGCTTCTTGAAGACCTCGAGAAACTTCTTGTATTGCTGTTCCATCCTTTGCTTCTTCAGCCTCTGTGGGAATGGTATGGGTGGCTCATAGGGGTTCACAGCTACAGTTTCTTTATCCCTTGAGTTTCCTTTATTTGCTCTCGGTGTTGGCTCTTCTGTCTGTTCTTCCTGCTCCAAATTCTTTTCTATTTCAGGAGACATGCTCTACCTGTTAATGCAACTGCCATCTGTCCTATCTAAGTTTCCAAATTCTTAATGGCTGCATTTTGGTCCTGAAGAGTAGTTTCTGTCTTCTTCATGAATTGGTTGTTCGCCTCCATATATTGGTTGGTCTGTTCCATGAATTTGCCGAACATTTCTTCCAATTGAGCCTTCTTCTCTTGTTGTTGGTATTGCCCTTGTGGCCTGTTCTGATTTTGGTTGCTCCAAGAAAAGTTGGGGTGCTTTTTCCAGCTTGGGTTGAAGGTCTCTCCATACACATTATTCTGCTGGCGTTGTCCCAATTGAGCAAAATCTGCTTGCTCTTTTCCTTGTGTCAAAATTGGGCATTCTGCTGTCACATGCTCAGTTCCACATTCCTCACAATTTGCCTTCTTTGTCTGCGCTGCATTAGCTGACTGGGTAATGTTTTCCACCTTGTGAAATAAGGAGTCAATCTTGGCAGATAACGCTGAATATACATCCACTTCATAAACTCCTGGTGTCTTCTTTGGTACTGCTCGTTCCATGGTCCACATTGTTGAGGTTGTAGCCATTGTCTCATATAACTTCAATGCTTCATCAATTGTTTTTGTGGACAATGACCCATTAGCTGAAGAGTCGAACATACTCTTGAAAGCTGGAAGTAGCCCTGCATAGAAATATTGGACCTGAAGTCCCTTGCTAATCCCGTGGTGCGGACACTTCCTTAGTAGATTTTTGAATCTGTTCCAAGCCTCATCAAAATTCTCAGATTCACCTTGCCTGAAGATAGATATGTCGTGCTTTAGCTTCGCAATCTTGGCTGGTGGGAAAAACTTAGTATAGAACTTCTGAGCTAGGTCATTCCAAGTAGTAATGCTGGCTATCGGCTGTGCAAAAGGCGGTGTGGTCCCTCCATTCTTCAGTCCAATACTTATTGTGGACCACCACCACTACAGCTGTTTCTGGGAGGAGAGCTTCCGGTACTTCTTTAACTGGCTCCTCGGAGTTCGAGCCCAAGAAGTCCACCTCCTTTGAGGGACGAGCTCTTTTCTTCTTAGGCTGTCCCGGCACCTGGACAAGAGGGATGGCAGCAACTAACGCCTTGGCCGGAGCAGGGAAAGCCTCTGATGGTGCGGACGTTCTCTCCAAAATGGCCACCATGGTAGGAATTGTGGTTTGCCTCAGAACTGGGGATGGCCACGCCACCATAGACCGCTTTGAAGGGGCGGCAGGTTTCGTACCCTTCTGAAGCATATTCGCCTCTAGATCCTCGGGCACCTCCTCCTTCGTCGGAGGCGGGAGCCTCTTGCTGGCATCCACTAAGTCCTCCATCTGCTTCTTGTAAGAGGAGGAGAACGTCTTCAAGGCCCTCGCCTTGGCCATCATCTTCTGTATTGTTTTGAAGTCGGGCCGGAGGGGCATCTTCTTATTGAAGTTATCTGCAAGAAACAAGTAGTATTAGTACAAGTGTAAACGACTCGAAAATATTCAAAGGTATTCGTTTCGAGATATTACCTTGTGAGACCATCAGGTCGTGCGTCACAAAATGGAGGTTCTTTCTGATCAGCCGATGGAATGACCTCTTCTTCGGAGACAGCTGATAGATCACGTAGATGATCTCAAAATCGTCGGAGGACAGCTCGCACCGAGGAAGAGTGTCTTCAAAAAATGAATACGATTGTTAGTTATAATCCGAACCGAAGAGAAATAAAATAAGAAATATGGCTACAATACTCACTAAGTGACGAGTACTTCGTGGGGACCATAAGAGGTGCCACGGGGTCTCCCTCCATCATGTCCCATCTCCCAGTAGCCCAACACCACGAGCCCTTCCACTCCTTGATGGAGCTTGGTAGATCGAGCACGAATGGAGTGTGTGAACCCTAAGAGGTCAGGTAATACCAGCCCCTGATCTCATCTCCCTCGGCTGTTACTTTTGGGATGTAGAGGGTCTGAAAAACAGAGAAAGGCAACTCCACCCCTAGTGACGCCTCTTTCCATAACATCCAGGAGCCCACCATTTGGCTCCAGGAGTTCGGATTCAGTTGGGTTGATGCTAAGCCGTAAGACCTAAGCACCATCTGGAAAATGGGTAAATTGGATGCCTAAGGCCAGCCCTAAGGATCGTCTCACTTATCGCCACACACCTTGGCCTAGGGTAGCAGGCTCTCTTGTCAGGCTCAGGGAGGATCAAGTCTATGCTATCCGGTATCCTATATTCAGTTCTAAGTCTTTTTAGGTCGACCTCCTTTAACTTGGAGGGGTAATCCGATGCCCCCCCCAATGCACAGAGTTGTCTACTAGGCTATTCGGCCTCTTCCAAATGTTCTCCCCCCCAAGTATCGCTTCGGCTACTTCGGAAGAGGTCACCACAATGGGCTTGTCCATCCGTACTAACTCCAGCCCACTCCCCGAACTAGCACTACCCTCAGAAGCCATTTTTAGAAAGAAAATATCTCAAAATAGTTACTAAAACTTATGAGTTTGATTGTTCCCCAGCCGAAAACGGTCAAAATGTGGTGTGTGGTCATCGAAAAATCAAAGTTCATGCCGGAAATGCTTGAAGAACTCCGGAAATCGCAAAGAGATTTGAGAGTAATGGGATTTTCTATTTTCACAAGAGTAAAAACTCCAAAAAACGCTGAAGTTCGTCTTTTATAGAGCGCTCCAACTAATCCCCACCGTTGAATTCAAATGCAATCAATCTAGGCCGTTGAAATGAAACGCCAAATTTGATTTATGCCTAAGATTTTGTTGTAACCCTCACGCTCGCATATAACGCGTCACCTCGGTCACCACCAGCCGTCAACAATAAGTAGCCGCAACAGCCTTTTAGGGAAATGGGCGCTGTACCCAACTGTTACCTTGGAAATACGCAACAGCTGTCAAATCATTTAACGTCGTATACGCCCGCCTCGGAATGAACTTCTCGCTCAACTTTACAATGCTTAGGTGCACCTAACACGAAGTCCCCTATGGGTCAGCGCACCGGTGGCAAATGAGCTCCTCACTCAACTTTACAAAGTTTAGGCGCACCTGACACGAAGTCCCCTGTTGGTCATCGCCTCGGTCGCTGCGTTCCCTCCTAAGCTTTACAAAGTTTTGGCCATCTCCCAACGCGTCGTCCCCTGTGGGTCAGTGCA